CCATTCCAATACAACCCTCTCAAGGGTCAATCTAAATCCGGGGTTCATCCAATTTTTTGACAAAAGACAATTTCTCATGTTGTCTAATCCATGGTTGTCAGTCCAGTCCCCCTTAATGTTCATACTGGTTGGGGGGATCCATATAATGGTCACTTCAACTTTGACAAAAACAACTTCTCATGGACTACCTACTTTCATAACGGTACTAATAATGGTAGATCGAAACATAGAACAAATCTGACAATTGATGAAATGATTGTTCCAGTTCACCCCATCTAATGGGGTATTCCTATAACCTACTTATAAGACAACACCCTATAATAGGGGGGCTTGCTTCACCCTACTAAGGACAAAGACACCCTTTCAGGGGGTGGTTCTTCTATTTTCCGGTTCGACAGATCAATCCTAGATGATAAAATGACAACTCCTCTAAGTCCGAAATTGGACCCCTGTTGGTTGGTTCTGGGTTATTCTGTTGGTACCAGTCCTTAGAAGGAAGGGACATCCCAACATGGAGAATGTGAAAGTTGTTCAATTCCATAGATTGACTCATAGATTAATTCTTTCCTGTCTAAGACTCCTCCTCCTTTATAATTATGTTGTTAGAATGGTCCTATTGACTGTCCCAGCTGGGTCAATTTAATTCCTCTAACAACCATACATGGGTGGAATCACTAATAATGGACACAAAAATAGACTCATAAAACGGAAGGTGGTACATATTCTAACACAATGTATACTAAATCTAGACTCATTTGAACACATTACATATTGTTCGGGGCAGAACTAATCTATGGAAGGAAGGTCATCCTAGGGGGGTCATAACCCCTTTTTGCACCCAGTTGCATGCTTAGGAGGGGGTTTAACGTTGTAAATGACGGTACTCAGTGTGTTGGGACGGAGATTATAATAGTAGCTGTTATTTCTCAACCCTAAACCCTAAATGTATACCTGAACCCTATCCTACGATGAACATATAAGGCTGAATTCATCATTATCAGAGTCCTAGAGTTTATCCAATTTTTCAGGATTTGTGAACATATTTTCACGGAACAAGTTGTTTTTTTAGTTCTTTAAAACATGCATAACGAAATATCTATTCATATGGACAAACATAGGACAAAACTAAAAAATGATCATTGTCATGTACAGATATACGTTAATTGTTCGTTATAATATCAATCACGATTTGTAAAAAATAAAACAGCATGTACGTTCTTAGAGGCGTTTTCCTTAGGACATTAGTCATCAGCCTACTCTTAAGAGGGTTTAGGCTGTCCGATGTCAATAAAATCTGCAACATGATAAATTTTTTCGTGCCTTTTCTTCTTAGGATAATTAATGACTTTTGGGTATAATTCTAGAATAAACGTACGAGGGTAAAACATTCTCTGCTTCCTTTCACGTGCCAGATGCCCCCTTCTAACTTCTTGAAATAATAGTTCTCGTCCGATATATCTTCTCCTCTCCTAGAGGCACATACCACTGCTTGTCAAATTTTTCGCATCAGAGGAATTGACGGATTCATTACTCTTCTCTTTCTCACTCACTTCTTGACAATTACCTTCACGAACCTTCGAGGGGGAGATTTGATGTTCTGTTACTTGGTTAGATACTTCTTCCTGTTTTTTTTGATCCAGCCACATTGGGAAAGGGAAGGTAATCCCTGGTTCCTTGAGTCGAAGACCCTCTTTTGTTACTTGGATACACATCATACTGCTCAATTCATTCTTTGTTAGTTTCGGGAGTCGATTTGTTGACTGGGAATTTCTTGGCCTTCTAGGCTTTCTGGAAGAGATAGTCCTAATTTTCCTTTTTTGGACTCGTTATCTCTTGCTATTGGAAGATTTGAAATAACACTAATCTCGTTAAACCCCTCTTCCTGCAGAGTCGCTAAAGATTTTGTTCGTCTTAATTTATTCGAATGACACTAATCATGTTAAACACCTCCTTTCTTTAGTTCCCAAAATCTTGTTTGCTCTATCATTAATTGGAATGACATGGAATTGGGTAAACAGCTAATTCGTTGCCTGTGTAAAATACCTCCTCCTCCGTAATTATTCGGAATGACACTAATCCGCCTAAACAAATTTTTTCGCTGCGTTGCTAAATATTTTTCGACTGATAATTAATTTGAATGATATTAAATTGGGGAAACAGTTGTCTTTTATTCTGTGCAAAATATTGTCGTCTTCGTAATTATTCGGAATGAAGTTGCAGAAGTGCAACATTTGTCGCTGTCGTTGGGTAAAATAACGCACACATTCTAATTATTTGGAGTTACACTAATCGCGGAAAAAATTTCTCCTCTTTTTTTTCTTCCTTTACTTTCACACTGTAATTACTTTTAGTGAAACGAATGGGGTTGAATTTTGTTCCTTTTTCCATTACGTTAATTATTTCTTTGCCACGGAATTTTCTTCAGATGTTACGCGATTGAAACATTACTGCCTGTGGGTGCAAAATATTGCCTTCTCTGGTAATTATTCAGAATGACACTAAATGGGGGGAACATCGGCTTCGTTTGGATTTGTTTTTTTATCTTTCTGCACCCGAAATTT